CAACGAGGCTACCTTGCCTCGTAGCATCTCAACCTCATCTGGTCTCCCACCAGGATCACCACCGGGAGCATTTTCGCTCCCGTCTCCATGGCTCTCCATTTTCCGAATGGACTCCCTCGAGGGATGGATCGCTAATGTGTTGTATATGTCCGCGACTTGGAAGGGGGAGACTGGATATCGCTTGTATTAGAAACGCAGAAGCAAGAGAAGAGAAGAAGAAGAGTGCTTCCGGAAAACAGAGAAGCAGGGGTCACAAACACAAGAACCCCAAAATGGTATGTCTACGTTCCTATCTGCGAATATATCCGTTACTGCGGTCGATCAATACCTGTCCGTATCCAAACACACGAACAGGATCACCCATACCTTGTTCAGAATGAACGACCGGAAACAACACCGGACGGACACACTGGTGGCCGGAATTTGGCACATGTGCCAAAGCATCACAAAACCGATGAACACCGAGCGTGCATTATGCCGTCGTTTCTCGAACAAACTGTTCCCCAAACCCGGCAGGTAGCGTTGGGTAACCCGAGTGCCGCCGAGATCGCTGACCTTGGAGGTAATGAGGTCTACCGTGAACACATGCACATGGTGAGATAACGGTTGATACTGACAAAGTTGAAGTTATTGGGGTTGCTGTGGTAGGTGTAGTTCCGCGGTTGCTCTTGTCATGGACTCCTGCTATGGCTCAGATGGCTACCACGACCCCTGCCTTTGTCTTTGGACCACCTCATGGCGTAATTATGTCGCCGTGTTTCACTACCAGTCATGTGACCGAAGGAAGTTGTCGATTCCTCGGCTCAGTGGTGATGCGAAGCACGTTGCATGCTTAAAGATCGTTGCATTTTCTCGCCAACACGTTTAAATGTGTACCGATTGTTGCCCGCTCGCCCGAATGGTGTGTCATATCAGTTGCTGACACGAGTCGTTTGACTCCGCCAATGACAGAAAACAAGGTTCTTTATATCCACATGTGCGCGTGTCCTTCGCAGCGACCAGATCGCCTTTCCCAGCAACCTTGCTGCTGAACCTTTTGGGCTAATGGTTGCATGCTGGTACTCACTTGAGTCAACCATTGTGCCTTCCCTTCTTGCAAATTATTGACCTTCGCTACTTGTGATTCATGTGGCGAATGCCCAGACAATTGATGTGGTATCAAAAGCAGTCGGCGAGTTGATGGGCATGGGTCAGTTCATCGACGCGTCCCTGTACTTCAACGACGGCCTGGAGGTGCTAAAGCGGATGGCGGACACGCCAAGGCGAAAGTGCCTCGAAATAGGTATGTAACCGCGACACTATCCTGTCGCCATGTAGACTATACTTTTTTTGTGGAACGGCCCCATCGTCTCTCTGTTGGCTGCTATTAGACATTGATAGACGGACGTTACTCCGCCCCACTGTTTGTCGAAGAATAAGGTAAAACGCTGTTGTTGTAGGCGATGGTACCTGCATATGTTTCTGTCGTCATGTGGACAAGATTTGATCATTTTGGGCCTTACCCGAGGCGTTCGGTACTTACGTTTCGGTACTCATGCTCGTACACAGCTTCTATTCGCCTCTCATCAAGTTGGTGTTGCTGTTTACACTTCTCTAGTGGTCATCCGACAATGTTTGGCGAAGAATGAATGCAGATTACCCTTTAGCATGAATTCATGAATTCATGTGCTTGGAGTAGTATCCCTGTCAGACTTGTCAGATAGGGTCTTGCCAAAACCTCAAACGTGCATCATCCCAGTGCGGCAAGGAAGGGGAACATATCATCATAGCGGCCCGTAACTGCTACGAAGTCTGCACTTCTCGTCCATGTAGCACTGCTGTGTACTGCACTATACAGATATGTGGATCAAACCCGGTACATCTGCCATTGATGACATTTCGAGATAACCGCACGTTGTGCTTGCATCTCGCGTGCTTTTTGTTTTTCGGACCATCCACCTGTGGCGTGTGACAGACCTGCTTCTCCAGGGTTGCCGGCTGACCTCGTTCATCGAGGGGTACACAACCACTCTCGTGGAATTTGCTCGGAAGGTGCGGAGCAAGGGCAATAGACTGAGCACAACACACACACCAGCCTCTTGACCTAACAGTGTTGTCGGTTGTTGGAAAGCCTCATTCGGCAAAACGGCTCCACACATGGTGGAAACCTACCGTTACTCTTTTCCGGAGAGCTGGGGCTGGCCCGTTGCTGACCGTGTGTTGAAGGAACCCTCGTCCCTAGCACAGATATTTCAGAACCGGAACGGATACAACGTAGTAGCGTTCGTTAATTCATGGTGGCTCTATCAACCGTTGCAGTGTTCCATTTTAGGGCTCTCCTCGGGAAAGGCCCAACAAGCTAGGTTTGTTCGCCGTGTGATGGCACCACGATTACAATACACAACCCCGCGATGAAAGGGCAGAGCGACTTCTTCGCGAGCAAAGCCACCCCCCGTAGGACATGAAAACCTTCGGGGGTCGGTACAAGAGGACATCACTGGAGTTGAATTACAGTCAATGCACCCCGCAGCGGTCCACACATTCAACGAACGCCGGCAATACACGAAAGAAAGGCAGGCGTGGTACACGTAACCCCCCGCAACCTGTTCCTTGGGAACTCACTTCACCCTGCCACCCCGTGCCGCGGTGTGGCATATTTTTGGCCATGGTAGGCGTACACTCTTGCCTGCGAGGAAACAGAGGGCGTTCAACGCGAGAGCCGACTGCGCGCGGTGTTGTACATCGCGCAGTACGAGGTTATGTACGGCAACGCAAGCTCGACCATTGAGAAGCTCAAGGCAAGAACAAAAACTTCCAAGCAATAGACCCAAGTACTGGGTCCGTTTTGCGAAGGCATGCTTTCTTTGGTGCTCAACCACGGCGCATATGGCGCATGTTACACTGACCGCTGCTGCGAATCATTCATACCCTTCGTGGCCGTGGGATTGGCCTGGAGCGCATTGGGTCGATACCCCTACTCTCTGCTCTAGACGTTCTGCTCCAACACTGTTTTCAACAGGAACTACTCATAGCGCGCAACGGGAGCGGAGGACTCTATATACTTTTTTTTTACTTGCGGACCCCTCGGGGCCAGTGTATTTGAGTGTACCTTTAGGGTAAGTTAACCTGTGACCACGGGAATCGACCGCGTCGAGTGTTGGATCAGCACGGACATACGAAGGTACTGGGTAGAGAGAGATCGGAACGGTTTTAATGTGAAGACAACAACAACAAGAACAACTCAGGAATCCAACAGTCAAGACTGAAGAACATGATAGTAACCGTATTGCCGTTCTCAGCGCGGACCATGTGATGTATGCATTGGGTTTTTGCACGCTAGCCGGTGATCCCACCAAAGGTTCGCTGTGTTGTCGTACATGTGATAATCGGCCTACAGCATGTAGCGCAGTTTGTGGAGTCTCACCGCAATCTTCCCATCAAACGTTCGGACTATTAGTAGCCGCCAAAGTCGACGAGAATGTTGCGTCGGCATGCCTAGCTCCTCGAGCGCTTTGGCCCTGCTACGCAAGGCTAGTACTGACAGCCCTAATGTACCGCTGTGGGACGTTCTGCCTAGCTCGCAGACGCAGCAGGCGCGGGTGCAGCTGTACGATTGAGTTCGGTCACCGTAGCGAAGGAGACAGGTGGTCGCTTTTCGTAGTTAACACAAGATAATACAATTTTCAATTTTGCCTGGTGCCGTTCCACAATTAAGGCCGTGTTCGAATATTTCCGTCGTCGGGTAGCGATTTTCTGGGGCAAAACTTTATATTGTACTTACACCACGACTTTTACGAGTTGGAATCTGAAGTTTTGACATGTGGTCGGTATTAGTACAACCAAGACCGTGACTGGAAGCACCTTTTTTTCTTTTTAGTCCCCCTATACACAAAAAAAGGATCACCATTTGTCCTATAATAGGGCTACCTCGTGAAGAAAAAAAAACAAGGGGTGCTTCCAGTCAAGGTCTTGCTTGCACCAATACCAGCCACATGTCAAAATTTCAGGTTCTGATTCGTAGAAATCGTGGTGTAAATCGTTATCAACCATTTTGCATGCAACTTGGCTGGCCCAGCTTGTAGCGATTTCTGGTGGCAAAAAATCCCCGCGATATCAAGATGTCAGCGCCTTCGGCGATCCCTAGTAAACCTGATGTGTCGCTCATGGGTTAACCTTCACGTCTCTGAAAGGTGTTGTTCGACTCAATCCCTTCGGCAAAAGTGGTTCTGAGGATAGAGCCAGCGGCGATCCTCGCGGCTATCCTGACGCAAAGGGGGCAATTCAAGCAAGCCAGAGTGTACACGAACGTTGTTGCGGTAAGTGCAGCACTTAGCATTCCGTGTACGATCCGTCGCCGCCGTGTAGCGTCCTCTGTGTGCAGTTCGATATTTAACAAGTTTTTGGGCGGCACATTGACGGAGGTAACAGACGCGCCTGATGGTCTTGCTGTACGAGTGGCTCCGATGGCCCGCCAAGGAAACGCAGGCGAAACACGTGCGCCATTGCACAAAAACAATTTCCACCGTAGAAAATATTCTAGAACGATTATAATCGGGTGCTTGCTGTTCGTGCCTCTATCTTGTACGCGTACAGGAGTGGAAGGCCGCCGGGAGGCCTGTTCCTCTGTGCCTCGTCATGTACGAACCCGTGGTGACTCTCATGTCCATAAACATCATCTTAGCTGCCGTCGGCGCAGACGATTCGCGACACCTAAGGTGGTTGAACGAACTCGAAAGGTTCGTGCGAGACGATTTTTTCAACGGAAATAAATTCAACGCTATTTTGCAAGCCTCACCGTAATGTTGCCTTGTTGTTGGGACAGTTAGCGCACGCGTTTAAGAACGTCAATTTCGGGTGGTCGAGGCTCGGTTTTCTTATTTTGCCACCAATCAATGTCGAGCAGAGGTCAATACGAATTTTCACCAGGTGCAGGACCCACGGCTGAGCTGTATTGCCTCGATTTTTCTTGCTTATCGCCAGAACCGGAGCCTTCATTTTAGAAGGTTTAATATCTACTCGCGGGCGCTAGCTGTGTCGTCCTACCTAGATCTTTGCTGCCGCGGCTCTCCCATAAAGGCTTGGTGTCGTCGTCACTTGAGGATATGTCTACCGGATGAAAACCAAACCCGATGCTTGGGAGAAGGGGAGAAGCGGCTATACCGGCCGCGGGAGATTATGTCACTGTTTGGTCGCTGCCACGGTTGCTACGGTCGATGCCACTGTTTGAAATCATACCAACGTGCTGCAGGGATTGCAGATGTACCTCCTCGGTCAGGCTTGCGTACCCTTTTCTTGCTAATAGTGTGTGTGTTCTTTAGATCTTCTGATCGCTCTAGCATTTTTGTGACCACGGACCGAGTCTTTGCTGGATTTTGGGATTAGCAACTGACACGAGCTTAATGTGAAGAACAACAACAACAACACCATCTATCTGTAGAAAAGGGCTGGCGTGAAGAATAGTGATGACATATAAAGGATAAAGACGAGAAAAGACGCAATCCCAGCGTTGTCACGCAACAAAGAACACAAAGGTTAGGGGAGTCAGGGAAAATTTTCATTTGTGAACTTTCTCAACCTGTTCTACTGAGCTTGCAGTAGTACTGCAACCATGGGTCACACGGAATAAATCCCTCTTTGTTCCCCGAGGTCGTCCCAACGAGAGTTCAACTGCTGAGCTTTGCTTCGGATCCCATAAAACAAACATCCGTTTGCTCCTTGCTCCCTCCAGTGACAAACGATTCCGGGGTGGGGGTAGCCCAAACACGTCCCCGACAAAAATAATTTGAGAATTGTTCACGTCTTCGGATTGGTTCACTCAGTTGTATGGAAACAACCAGTTCCACAAGACTCTGACCTATTTGCCCAACCCTTTCAAACATTTCTATCTCATTTTGTTGACTGCGGGCGCCTCACGGCACTAGCGGGAACAAATGACCTTTTTCACACTTGTTGTAGAGCCTTTTGCGAAAACAACAATCTAACGTTGTAAGTAGTTGTTTCGTACAACTTTGATCTCGTAGATTCCAACTAGTTGCGCAAGATTCTTACCGTGTAGTTGTTTGGAAACATCTGGTTGCATAAGATTCTCGCACACTAGAATTAAATCCAGCTTGCCAAACTGTTGTCCGAGTTGAACTACACAAGGGACACCACGGTTGCTCCCCGGACGGGTGCCATCGATCCTACCGTGAATTTACATGTGTGCTCGTTTTCCGTCACTGTTTATTGCCAATGAAACCTGCGGCAGTTACCTCAAGTCCAACGACTCCGGGGTATCCAAGAAGCCGTTCAACCTGTACGCGTCCATGTCGCTCTTCGGCATGCTCTACCCGATGTGCTTCGAGTACGCGGAGATGTTCCGCTTCTACCATAGCGTGTACCACGTCGTCTACCACCCTCAGGTATACTGTCATTGTCGTCGTTGTTGCATTGTTCAATCTCGGTCCACAATCCCCTACCCGGTTGCTCTCTTGTTTGTGCTGATCCACCTGTTGTTGTTGTTGTTGTCTTCACATTAAAAACCATCCCGGTCTCTCTATCCAGTACCTCCTTCTGTCTCAATCTCTCCGTACTAATCCAGCACTTGACTCGGTCAATTTCCGTGGTCACAGGCTAACGTACCTAGAAAAGGTATACCAAAGTAAAATGGACCACAAGGGTTAGCAGAGCGATAAAATACAAGAAAACAAAAGAATCAGAAACAAATAGATAAATATATAAATAGTGGAACGTGCGCACCACCAGCCTGGGGGGTAGCCTTCCCGAAGGACCCCAAGGGTGAACAGTACGTGCCAGTAAAAAAACAAAACAAAAACGAAATAAACCAAAGACAGACGAGGACATAACAAACTCGCACAGAGACAGGGATATCCGTAGAGACAGTCTGAACGCGACAGCAAACGGGGGAGAGGGCAACAGAAAAACTAGTCGCTGAAATTCAACCGCAACATGTCACGTCACGCGGTCGGTCTCTTCTCGCTTGCTTTCTTCCCGCGCCGTTTCCTCCCGCCCCCCTCCCGCCCCGTTGATTGGTGCCGTATCTAGACTATTTTTGGGCCCGCTGTCTCCTCGTTTGATGGCTCGTTGTCGGCTGGCCTCCTCCTTGCCCTTGTGCCAAGAGGCCATGAACCTCTCAGCTCCCTGTAGCACCCCCGCGTGCCACGGTACCCCCCCCTCCACCTTCGCCGCCTCACTCCAGACTAACTTCGGGACTCCGAAGACGCTCGGCTTGTCGGTCGTGGAGCCGTACCTGGCTTCGAACATCTTCATGTCGTCCTTCAGGCATGTCAGCCAGTTCTGCTCCGGGTTTCCCTGGCCCGGGTCCTCCCCTCCCACCAACTCGCCGAACATCAGCCGTTTCGGAAGCCGCCCGTCCGGCTGTCTTGCCACGGCCCCCGCAAAGAGCAGGCGCCGTTGACGGACAGTGGCCTCCACGCTCTGGCAGCCGACCCTCTTTAGCGCCTGGGCGTATGACAGCTGCCGGTAGGTGCCTCGTTTGCGCCGGTAGCCGATGACTCGCAGGAGTAGCCGGTGGTGTGTCGTCTGCAGCATTCCGTAGTGGTTGCGGCGTGGGGACCATGTCATGCAGCCGTATAGCAGTGCCTCCACTGCCTCCGCCTGGAGCAGGCGGGCTTTGAGGCGAAACGGTGCTCCCGGTCGGTCGAAGAGCTCCGTGGCGTATCGCTTAATGCACGCCCACGCTGCTTTGCTCCTGTGGTTGATCTCTCGGGTAAGGTCGCCCTGCTCGTTGACGAGGCCGCCCAGGTATCGGAACTCGGTCGTCTGTGCGTACCTTTGCCCCGCTGCTTCGATGGTCAGCACCGGCGGTGGCGGCGGCGGCGGTCGCTGTCTCTCCTTCACCCGCATCACCAGGGTCTCCGTCTTCCTCTCCGACACCGTCAGCCCGAACTCCCGGAACACCTCCACGATAATGGTCATCATCCTCGCCAGGCCGTCGGCGGACTTCGACACAACGCCGGCATCGTCGGCATATAGCATCCCCCACACCGCCCTCCGGACTCGGTCCAGCAATCCCTCCCCCCTCCGTTCCTCCTCCTTCAAGTACACTAGGTCCCGCACGATAACCTCATCTTGGCTGAACCGTGTGACAATGATCTCGAGAGGCGCTGCGAAGAAGACGTTGAACAGCAGTGGGGACATTGAGCACCCTTGTCGTAATCCCTGCGTGACCGGGAACCAGTCCGATAGCTCCCCATCGTCCGTGCGGACCCGGGCCCGCATTCCGACGTGGAACTTGCGGATGACGGCGATCATCTCCCCGGGGATCCCGGCCCGGGCCAGCACCTTCCACAGTAGCTCCCGGTCCACCGAGTCATATGCCTTCTGCAGATCGATGAAGCACATGTAGAGCGGGATTCTCCTCCTCCGCCCCAGCTCCTGGAGTCGGCGCACAACGAACAGCATGCATACCGTGGATCGGCCAGGCCGGAACCCGCACTGTTCCTCCGGGAGGATTTCGTTGGCTTCGCAGAATGCGCTCAGGCGGTTGGTGATGGTCTTGGCGAGTATTTTGCCTTTATGCGAGAGCAGCGAGATGCCCCTGAAGTTGTTGAAGTTCGTCCGGTCACCCTTCTTGTACAACACCTTAATGATGGCATCCTTCCACTCCTGCGGCATCTCTCCCCCATCCCACACTTCGACGACGATGGCACGGAGGCGCTCCAGGACAATGGGCTCGTCGTCGCCGTCGACCTTGAGCAGTTCGGCGGCAAGGAGGTCGGGGCCAACCGCCTTCCAGTTCCCCAACTAAATATAAAATACTCAAGTATTGTAGTGATTTCGTTCCGTGGTCACAAGCTCAATAGGAAGAAAACGAGGAAGGTCGTGAGGTACGGTTAGAGGATGCGGGAAATCACTCAGTTGCGGAAAATGCGGGTCGAGTGGACGACTTGGTACATGGGACGTGCCGCTTCCAGGGTACTCTTACAGGACGCGGGAAATCACGAAGTCACTGAAAATGCGGGCGGAATGGACATCTGGTACAAGGAACGCCCCGCTTCCGGGGCACGTGTTTGTCAAAACACAGCCGCTTGGCTACACGGAGGCCGCCACTCCCTGGTTTGCAGCACACACGCAGCAATGACATAGTTAGAGAACATAATGCTTTGACCAAGAATGCAGCGATGGTATTGGCCCCCCGAGCGCCAAGTAATACATTCACGCCAACCATCCCCGCCAGCGGCGATAATTCCAACCCCGCCCACCGCCTCTAGGAGCCGGACCATACAAGTTTTCTTCATGGCCCACAAACCCTTAGTCCGATGTAAGCAGATTATCTCTGTTACCTGTGTCATACATGAGGGAGAGCGCAACATGACAGAAGCAAGCTACCGCGTGGAGGAAACAACCGTTTTCGTCGCCTCTCTTGTTGTTCATATGTGATGGGTGGGTGGGAACGACGGGCAGGTGTTGCTGCCTATCCGAAGAGGGCTTATGTTTCAGGCATCTAGCGCAACAAGCCGAGTTCAAGCCAAGAACGTCGTCATCACGCAGGGGGTTGAGGTTATGAGCCTCATGTGCCAAGTCTACCAGTCCATAACCTCACCGGTTACGAATTCGAAGAAGGTGAGGGGTGTGCTTGCGAGCTGAAACCATCTGAAACACCTCAGGAGTAGCGCCAATCTTGTCTTGTATCACCATACTGCGTTGGTCTAGCTCACCCCAACATGTTACAATATAAACGCTGGATTCGCGTGATGAAGTACTGTACGCTCGACCTTCGAAGGGAAAAATGTCGAACTTCAGTATCAACAGTCCGAGATGAGAAGTAATATTAGCGATGTGGTTGAGGGGTACTGAAGGGAGAGACGGAGCCGTGCGAACATCCACACATAGATGCCAGATGTGAAGTCATCTACACACGTCGCCTCCTCACAAAAACAGCAGTGCATGAAAAGGGTGTCTCTTTCTCCCTCTCTGCCGATCGTGTTACTCTCTGGGATCCTACGTTCACGAAGGAGAGTTGACTCCATCTTGTTATTGTTGACGCACTTCTTTGCGCCCATCTTCTCCCTGCCCTTGCCCTGCCCTCACTCTTTCCATCGGTCGCGCATGGCGACAATCTTGCGCGCGTCATCTCCACCGTCACATCAACACAAACACCGGACACCAACCACCCCAGCCAAAGCAATACTTCAGTCAGCTCATGTCAATCGTGCAAAGCCAGCCAACACCGGCAGCCTGCGCCGCCGTCTACCAGGCTGCGCGCTTGCTCCGACTGTGGGACCGGGCCCGTGAATCCCTCCAACTGTGGGACGCCTTGCCCTCCTTTGAAAGCTGCGAAGAAGCCCGCCGGAACGCGAACGCTGGCGCCTCGGACGCGACGTTTGATGTAGCTGCGTTGTATCCGCCCATCGACAAGACTGCCGACACAATCTTCACGGCGCTGGGACCGCGGGAGTTGTCCACAGATTCCAGGATGAAAAGGTCTTTCTCCACCGATTCCATGGGTCGTCTCGATGCTGGTGATGACGATCTGGCCGAAGACGTACCCGTGGACATCTACGGGTGTATCTTGCTCTTTTGCAAAGGCGATACCGAGGTAAGGTAGATCTTGTGTGAGTCACTGGTTGTTTCGTGATTTTCGTGCTTGTTTTGTTGTCGCCGTTGTTCAACAACAAGAATGTATTGCAAGTAATTGAGGGCATGATTCTTCTACAACTTGCAATGAGCAGTCGGCTTTGCTGGTGCTGTTGGTGTGACTAACGACTCATCGTCCAAAACTCGAAATACTTGCATAAACCTGCCAATGTAGTACACGGCACGACGTGTGAAAGGTGGTCATGGAGTGGGCTTGCAGGGGTCCCTACCCACTCGCACACCCGCATCCACAGTGCCAAACAGAATCTGCAACTAATTCTTCGTTGGGGTTGCAGATTGGAGAAGTGATGGACAATCGACGCCCGAAGGGCGATGCCACATCTCCGGCGCAGGATCAGACGGACGAATTGCAGCTCAAAAAAACGCGTCTAGCTGCAGAACTCTTCGCAAAGGCGGCAGATGATGCCGCATTGGTGAGTTTTAACGATTGATTAACCTTAGAGAACATTTGGCCCATCTATTGTGAGGAAGGGTGCGGGGATGGTGTGCCTCATGCCCGTTTTTTCAATCTCCGGGGATAACAGTTTCGCAGCGTTTCAGTCCTTTCATATGTGTCAGCGAGAGGGAAGGGGGGGCATAGACGGTTGGGGCTAGGGTAGGTGGTTTATAAAAAGTTGTCTTGACAAGGTGGCGTGCTAGTTGACCACATTTCGGTGGTGATGCCTGTCAGGCATGACTCATGAAATCAATCACGATGGTTGGTGTGTTGGGCGGATTCTATTCAGTTGATGGGATAGCTGACTAGGTTTTTCTGAGAATGGGTAGCGCTGCCGTAGGAGACAGGGGCTGCCACGAACGGAGGACAAATATGCCCGCAGGAAGCTAACGAGACACCATAATGAAAAGCAAGAAAAAGGATGGGCAACGTGAAGGGGTTGAAGTGGGAGTACATTATTGGTCAGATTCCATGCCTGAATATGCAGCTAATAAACCCTTCCAAATCCACGCATCTCTGCGTCATGAAACGACAAAACCGGGCAGATCGGCAATGGTCTAATGGAAGTGCGGGCGTCTTCCGCATGCGCACGGCTGCTGTGGGAAACATTGGATCAGGGTCCAGACGCGCGTCAAAGGCTACGTCAGATTTTCGAAAAGTTTGACACGCTGTGCTCTCTCCCGAATTTCTTCACGCCATTGCGTCTTACTGGCCTCACCGCCGCTATGGTGAGAAGGCAACACGATTGTGGAAGAGGGCAACAACACTCCAGAAGAAGTAAGGGAAGACGGCGAAAGTTCACTGCAAGAGAGGACCACTTGTGCTAAATGACAAATCACAAGCAGCGTTGCTCAGGTCACCGTCTAAAGTGCGTGTGCCTGCTATTTGCCCCTGCAACCGACATCTGTGACAACTCGTCACCGTGCACCCCCGGCGTCATTTCATACGCAGCATCCTTGTTTCACGGTGTCGAAAAACCTAAGAAAGGCGTATTTTTCACTACGCAGACTCTCATGCTAAGTGGCGAGTTTTCTGCATACGATACGCGACGGTGTCTTGTTCCGTGACTTTCTCTGGCGGTATCGTTGCCTATTTAGCTAGGCACTTGTCACCTTACTTTTCTCGCCTTGAACTTCACTCAAACACTCCGACGTGATTTCCAAACTTCTCCCTACAAGCACCAGGACGCGTACGCAGACCCCTAGAGTTTGGCTGTCTCGAAAAAAAAGAAGTAAATTTCACTGCTGTATTGGGCACATGGGTGGCCGTTCGTTCCCTTCCCGAGCTGCCGGATCCTTCCCTCCGTATGTCCATTGTGATACGTTGTGTTTCCGTTGCAGCGCCTGAACAGCGATATGGGGGGGTGCTCCGAGGATGGAGATACAAGTGACAAAGATGAGTATGGATTCGGTGCTATGCACGCTGAGGACAGTGACGACAGCGAGGAAAGCGAGGACGGCGAGGACGGCGAGGACAGTGACGATCGCGAAAGCGATGATAGTGGTCAGGAGAAGGACGCGATCACAATTGGAGAAGCACGCGACAAGAAGCAGGGGGAAACAGTGGAGGAGCGCGGGGGGGGAGAGGGCAGGGACGATGAGGATGAAGAGGATGAGGAAGATGAGGAGGATAAGCATGATTTGGGAATGGCAAAGAGCGACAGAGCGGAAGGACCTGGCGGAGAGACGAACAAAGATGCAGCAGCAGCAGCAGCAGCAGCAGCAGCAGCGCACAGGCAGAATCAGCCCATTGCCTCCCCACAACCAGCTTCATTTACGCGCTCAAGCTTGAAAGGCACAACCTTGCTAAATCAGTCCGTAAAAGAACAACAGGGTCCCAAAGGGCATTCTGTTTGGTTTAGGCAATTGCACGAAGGGGATAGTGGCGATGACCTGGGAGAGCAAGAAGATGTTCACAAGGGAGACACCAGTGAAGCAGAGTCCAGCCGGGAGAAAGAAGCCCACGAGCCTGGACAAGCAGCCCCGCCCCCACTGGCTGAAGAAGTCGTGTCCAACTATGAGCCAACCGCTGATTCTCTTGGTACTGAACACATAAGTGAAGGAGACGGGGCAAGCAAGCTACTGGCTCGGGCTCACACCAACAGACGGACCTCCGGCCCTATTGACGTGGCTACTCTTATATTGCCCCGTAGGCCGAAAGCCAAGCGAGAGTCATCTGGGGCGCAACATAGAGGTGGGGCACATAGGAAGCTATCGCCGGTGTCGGGCGAATGTGGCGACACCATGGATGAAGGCGGATAGTGTTGTTGTAGGGACTGACCAGGAGGGTGAGGGAACACAATACTTCGTCGACGTGTCAGCCGAAGCCTATTTGGGGGGGTTTCGCCGCCAGGGTCCCATTCGGGGATCCCATTGAAGCTTTGTCCTGTGTTGTCGCTTGGGCCCACGCGGAAGGCGACCACCATCATCCAAGGGCCTTTCAAATCTCTGCGACGAGGACAAGTCATCTGTAGGGCTAGCGGCGTGTCGTGTCGGTGTTGTCGATTGAGGCGATATTTGAGGAGCTTTCACAAAACGATAAGCGGTCAATTGACGTAGTATGAAGTGCGCGATCAGACGGGCAAGGTGTGGACGGCCGCACCCATCGGGATTCGATTCAAAATGAATCCCGCCCTGACTTGTAGAGGAGGTAGTATTGTATTTGCTGCAAACGCCAGCTTTCCAAATCACACTTCGTTGCTTGTGGGCTTCCGAACCTAATCCCCCATACGTCTATAGCTTTTCTGCTGTTGAAGTGTGCTGTTGCCTGCTCGAATCATGAAAGCTTCGAGGCAGTCGTGAATGTCTCCATTGTTTGGGTGTACAGCCATGTATCACAATTAGGGTTTCTAGGGCGATTTCAACGTAGTCTCCCGTGGGGTGCGTAGAGGAGAATCACAATAGTTCGGTGTACGCGATCAGTTTTTATATGTACACGGATAATGATATTTTGTTTTGATTTGCTCAGCCTTCTCAGACCTCCATGGTATGGGTGGTTGGCCACAAACGCCCCCAAGGCTTCAAGTATTTGCAAATCGTAGCGGTGTTCCCGCTTGTTTTTTCAGCTTTGGCAAAGCTTTGGAGCTTGAGCGATGGACCCTGTTTTTTTTTACGAGACTTTTTGCTATGTCCTGTAGTTCGACCCTTTATGCATATGAAGACGTATTGTGTTGACACATTTCCCCCCGCCACCGGTGAGAATGTGACCCTGTCTGTTGCGTTCAGTCGGTGAAAAATGTTTGGGGTCAGTCTACAGTCTAACCGCCGACGTGCATTCCTCCCCGTTTAAAATACCGGCAGAAGAGACTGGGATTTTTTTTAGCTGACTAGACTAATTGTAGCGAAAGAGATAACCAAACAAGCGTCAACAACATTTCCGCGACTGAAACACCTAAATGAAAAGAGGGCCACACTGGCTGAGTGATTCAGTTGAGTAGCTTATGGGCGAGTTTTCTATTTGACTTGGCTTGATTTCAAGGTTGGCGCGGGAGACAAAAAATGAAGAGCTTGTGAAAGTTCATTTCGGTTAAAGAGAAATTCTGTTATGTTCAAGAAGGTTTTTCTGTCACATCACATCACGTCACATCACGTCACAAAATCTCTCGAGCTTCCTAGTATTGCTGACTGAGACCCCAATTTACATTCGGGGAAAAACAAGAAGAGATATCGCTAACTATGCTCGCGATCGAATTGAAGGCAAGAGCAAGCACTGCAGAAGGAAATATCGTAAATTCTCCTGCGTGACCCCGGCTGGGGGTCAAGCATATGGCGAACTTGTAGACTGGTGCCCGGAATGATGGATATAATGACAGAAAAGTGAAGGATAAAAAAGGCAAGATCCCACCGCACGGTGGCAACACCAAGACTTACACCTCGATCTGCCACCGCTGAGACGCACTTAGGACCTACAGACACGCGAGGTGTAGGCCCGAAATACTGCCATCTGAGAATGTGCGTACTTACGAGAACAAGGCGCAACAGGTCAGCAACGGGTGCGCCTAAAGTCCACTCGCGACATACCAATGACGTGTCGTCCTCACGTGCACCTGAACGAGACAACAAAATCCGTTCAACGCATGTCTAGCTGTGCCACCTCGGCTGCAATGCACGTCCGATAACCCGCTGGATAGTGTCCTGGCGTGCTATGTACCGATGCGATAGACGGGGGATAAGGCCGCACGCTCCAAGCCGGCCAACGGTTACTCTCCGAGCTACACCGCTTTGCGCCAACAGAATATGGCAGATTTGTTCTATCCATCGCCGACGCCCTCGTCCAGCAACCTCTCGCCGTGCCAGAGACTGGGGAAGAAGTACGCCGGACGGCCTCCTCCGCCGCCCATCGCGGGTCCTGCCCCATCGCCGTCCACCCACGCCATCCCTTCCTGTTGATCGAAAGGGTCTTGAGGTTAGGAAGAAAGGACGTGCTTGCGTGACTTCACGGCCAGCACCACGACTCGAACGCTCCCCTCAAAGTATTCCCCATCTCTAGCCGGGGCCACACGGAGGGTTTTTCTCTCCCTGAAACGATATTCCTGCGGGTCGTGCATGCCTTCAACGTAGTATCGGTGGTGGCTTCTCTTCCCCCTTTTCAAAGGAGTTGATTGGCAGTGAGACCGAGGAGAAGCGTCGCACAGACAAAGGGCCGCGCACACCACTTGCAGGTGTGCTTCTTACGGAACAACCCTAGAAGCGAAGCAGAAGAACTCGGCAATTCATCCAAAGTCGCAAGCAGCGATGGTGCGCCAGCATTTGCACACAAAAAATAAAACAGTTTTCTTATACCTGCATGAGCTCGTCTAGCACCCTCCGCGGGCGGCCCCCCTCCCACTGCAACTCTTCCGAGATGTCCGCTTCGGTGATGCGACCAGAAGCCTCCGCCAAAAGAAGCACCGCCGAGTGGTCGGAGCTCAGCTCGCGAGGGACCGATACGACCATGGTGGTCTTCCCGATCTCGAGCAGCTTCATGCGACGATTCACGGGACAAGGGGACCCTTGGTTTAGATGCCGAAACGCTTTCGCGACGAACTGCTCACTTTTTCAACAGGGATGTGTGGGAAGCGACAACAGTCCGTCGAACGGTTATCACTGCGCGTGCGGCCGTTCTGCCGCAAAGTAATATCTGAAACGAAAGCCCCAAGACGCGTGTGGATGTGCGTGTGTCTTAAGTATTAGCATCGACCGCACCAGCCGGCCGACCAATGACATTTGTTCGTATGAGTGCGGTTGAAAACACAAAATGCCTCTGAAGGTCACGATCTGGGACCCTGTGAGGGAACGTCATGGGGGAGTCTACGGCTACTCTCCGGATAAAAGAGAGGTACTGTAGCATAACTGTAACAGAAGAAAACTGCACGTGTTTACCATAGCTGCTATGTGTGTACGTGTGCCAGCTGAAGTTCAGATGTGAACTTCTTTTCGACGAAGGATTGGCATGTCTCCGACGTCTGCCTCACCGCAAAGCCGCTCCCGAGAACCTGCAGCTTCGACGTCGCTCTTCGGACATCATCTGCGGAGATTTCTTGGCGTTTTTTTCGGTTTCCTTTCGCTCGGAGGCGTTGCAGTAGCTCCTACGCGCGAGGAACACAGGGGAGAACGAGGAAGGGAGGCCCTTTCAAGGATAAATTTACGTACCATAGAATAGGAAAACCTTTTTCGGCGGTGACAAATGTATATTTTCGAAGTACTCCTTCCGGTTCCAACGCGTCGTGCTTGCACGTACCACTTAATCCGTCCTCTCTGCAGCAACAAGCAGCATTTGCGTGTAACCGCCTGGACCGCAAGAGCATTCTGAACAATGACGTCATTCATATCTTTACCCCGACCTCACGGGCTACGCATCCTTCTCACCGGCAACGCCATAAGCCCCCCGTTCACAGATCTGGTCGCGAGGCAAACCTCCACAATCTGCACCGCAAGTTCGTAGTAGAAATCGCCGACGCCAAGTACCTCAGCCCAAAAGCCCTTGTTCGATGCCAGAGGGTCCACACTTTTTCACCAAAAAACACCGATTTTCGTGAAAGAGGGGCGGATGTACACCGTTGGGGATTTAGGTGGATTACGTGTGGGAACACTGCGAGATCGACGAGGTTTGTGCGAAGGAGCACAAGCGACGCTAATGCGACGCTAAGAACACATCGGAAAACAGATCTTGCGTAGGTGGGCAGTTGACAGTGCTCTGAAGGCCGAGTCAAACCTACAAGGCGAGCCAGCAGTCATAACTATTGAGGGCGAGTGCGTTCCACTCTCCGAAAGTCCCACACTCCGAAGGATCCTCGAAGTGCATGCACGGGTTGCATGTGCAGAGCACCGGATTGGTTATTGGTGTTGTTGTTGTCTCCATATTAAAACCGTTCCGATCGCTCTACAACCCATCTGCATCTGTCTGTACTGACCTACAACTTGACGCGGTCGATCCTCGTGAGTCGGCAAGTAAATATCGTACAATTTCTTAAACCTGCAAGAGTCAGGCCGACTCCCTCAATACCATCAGCAGTGGGGTGACATACATCTCTCACCCGATTATGCATATCTCTGTCTATCTTTGCCCCTTCGACCCCCCTAGCTATGTCTCTCTCTTTCCCCCTCCCTCTCTCGCACCCGATGCTGGCACACATGACTTGAAACTGCTGTCGAAAAGCGGGGTCCTGGTTGATGTCCTTCTTGTATTTCCGTGCGAACTCCTCCAGGCTACCCTTGAAGGTTGCCATCATGCCGGATATGTGGCTGAGGTTCTCCTCCGCAACTCTCTTGCCGACCGCCTCAAACGCCTGCGGCGCCAGAGGGATTTGGGGTCGAGTGGTTTTGATCAAATGCTACAGGCATGCCCCACACGTTTGCAAGAGGGACCCCCGACTCCCGGGTTCCAAAGCACTGGACGCAGGTTGAGCTCGTTCAACGTGAAAAGATGATAAGACGCACACAAGTCGACCAAGTCCCTTTAGAAAACTATGCCGACAGCCTGCGCCTAAACCTACCGAGCTACTGTTCCACCAGCAAAACTTTTCCGGGCATGTTGGGACATCGACAGCTCGAGGTAGAAAAGGCCTTGCATATTGATGGCATCCGCCTGGTTGTCAGCCCGCACACGACACGCCCATCATCATTCGAAGAATCTCATCGGCCAATTAGCGCATAGTGCTCGGTACCGCTACACATGTTGGGAGCCCGATGGCAGAACCCCGCACGCTTGCAACGTGGCCGTGGTCCGTAGCGCGTAGACTAGATCCATACGATACGCTGTCGCGCTGGTCTACTGCACTTGTGTCGAACAACAAATCTAACACCAAAAACAGATGCCGGTTTTCCTTCGAGGTGGTGAGCTGCGTTTTGAGTGGGTCCCTTGCCGTGCAAACCGTTCGGGTGTCGTTCAGCCCTTACGTGACTTAGCTAGTTTGACTTTTTTGTTTCGCCTCGTCCTCAATAAGTGGATCTTTCAAGACAAGCGCAACAATTCTTACATGTTTGTAGCACACCATCGCCAAGGTACAAAAACGGCGGCAAGGATGATGCAGCGATGAGGAGACGTCCTTGTGTCTTATCGATCTTTGTGGCAGACAAAGTAATTGAACTTGTTTGCATGGGTCAAGGGGTAACCCGATCATGCTTTTCATTCTACATGTACCCTGCGTTCGACGTCCTGCTGCGCTCCTGTGGCACACGTATTTCAATTGGTTTGATTGCGGTCACTGCACGTCTATTTACTGTTTGTAAGTTACTCTTTAGGTCTGACCGGTGTTGAAGGCTAGGACACACAGCACAAGGCTAGGACACACCGTGGCCGACCTAACCCAACCCAACCCTAACCCTAACCCTAACTAAACCTCACCCACGGCCAACGCACCGTCTAGAGGCCACATGCACAGCCGCGTTCTCGGAATGCGGAACGATGAGAGGGCGCTGGAGAGGGTCAAGGCTACGAACCAACACCTGACCAATCAGATGGCGTGAAACCGCCTACCTAGATAGGAAAGTCACTAACAGAACGAAAAAACTTCTGCACTGCTGTACACAACTTGTCAGATCGGAAATGACCCAATCCCAACGCCGACCATCAACGTGGCGATATAAGCCTCAGAAACCTTCGAAGTATCTCTGCTGGACTGCTGCTGTAGCAAGGGGCCGCGAAAACTCGAACTATGTACAAGCAGCCATTTTCTGCATCATAATTTGAACAACCGGGGGGAGGAGGTAACGCCAAAAATGTCACCCATGCTGACAACAGCCGACTGAAAAACTTTCCCACCGCAGGCTGTGTCTGTTTTTGCCTAAGACGAAATCAGCAACAACTCGTGTAGTAGAGTGTTTCATGGGAGTGTAGATTCGCCTTCAAGTACAAGTAACCCTTTGTTGTGGGCTCAAATTTAAGTAGACACATAGTTCGAAAGGAGAAGTAGTCAACCGTATCAGTAGTTCAACAACTTTTTAACAACTACCGTATTCAATTCTACTTTTCACCCAAAGCACTAGTTGTAGAAGACTCTACGTTTAGTTGTACAAATATCGCTACAGCTACATAATATTTCACAGAGGTCATGGACGTATCGCCAGCTTTTCGGTTCGTAGAACCGGCGGAATCCAGCACTACAGCAATACACCAAGTACTGCTGTACCTGCTCAAAACACACCCAAGAAAGTCTTAACTGGGAGACATAATATTTTGCCCACCTCTTTGTTCTTCTCTTTGCGCTTCACCGCACCCACGCCAACTCCTCGTCTTCTCATGGCGATGCTAGTTTGCCGACAACACTGCACCTGGGTTGTCGAACACTGTATCACAACCCAACTGGAGCAGCAAGTACAGCAGTGGACAAACAGCAATCTGCTGTGTGTGCACGCAAGCAACAAGCATTAGAGATACGCAGACCAACTCATAGCGCTTGAACAGCGGGAGGGGGGCTCCGCCAATTGAAGACTACTTACCCCTACCGTAACAGGATGGGGCAACCATTGTGGTGTCACCAGGGCCAGAAAGTAATCAGTGCACAGCAGAGCACCGCCGTGGAACTAGCGTGAGCACAGCACCCGCACACTATCACACTCAATTCTTTCGCCTGAAACGGTGAGTGCTGTAGAGCATATGCGTAGGTGCTCCTCCTCGCAGGTGATATTGCTTGAGTGCAAGACCACGGTGCAAAACCACCCGGGAAGCGTCGAATTTTAGAACATTTCTAGCACTCCCGCTCAGCAATATGGCTACGCATATGTAGTTGCGTGTGCAACGCAGGAGGCGTGCAGAGGCAGGCAATCTCCAATCAAATGCAACTTGAGGCCGAACGGGGCCTAATTCTACTTGCGCAAAATCTCCCCTCCGCTGACGGGAGCAACATTGGTTGAAAGACACGTTGATCACACCGGCGGCGGATATATTTGAATGCCTCTTTTTTGTTCACCTCTTGTACAACGTCACTTGGCATGGACGTGGTTGGGGTCTGACTTGCCGGTAGGAGGTTTTTCCGCTGAGACGCGTAGCAGAATCCAGGCGTTTAGCCGACCAGGCTTTACCTTTCGGACGCTAGCAGCGAGCTGCACATCTATGTCTCCTGGTTGAATAGCTGCTGTTGATTCTTGGGGAACACCTTAGCGATGTGTGTCTCGCTGAACTTGTCACAGATGACGGCATGTTTGGCACTTTCTCTCTTTCTTGTGACGGTGCTGTCGCCAACCCGACAGACTGCTGTTGATTGAGCAATCATTACCGGGATCGCGCAAGCTCTGTCCCCATGACATGTTGTCATTTCCTAGACAATGATGGCCACTGGCGCCACGCTGTGTTACTGATGCAAAACAACGTTTTACAACTTCCTTCTCCGCTCCCGAACGGCAAGGGCACCAAAACACTGGCGGGTTAACATTTAACATTCCCGCCGCCGACCCCCCGCCGCCGCCATCGTTGATACTTGTTCCTTTTTGATTCGCCAGATGCGTGCCAACTCTGAACACTGGCGAGTTAGGTACCCACAGAGAACTCCCATTCCGAGAAGATCCTCGACGCGATTCGACGCACGTCGAGCGACCGTAGGCCCTACAGCAGCAGGGGCGGATTCTCCGCCAGCGCCGCCGTTGTTCGATCCGAGAGAACCCTCGTCGTCGAGGAGGTTATTATTGTCGCCGGCAGGGCGGCGACCGCCGGACGACCACCGTGGTGCACAGCACGCCGCTGCCGCTGCTGCCGGCGGCGCTGGTGTTGACTTTGTCAGCAACAAGCGGGCGACGGGCGGCCCGGCCGCCGATCACGGCCGTGCGGTCCGCTTCGACCGCGTCGTGAAGCTGATCCTGGTGCCGAGCCGCCTCGACTTGAGCGCCGGTCTGAGCGACGAGCTCTGGTGGAACGAGGACGACTACTTGCAGTTCAGGTGAAGGCAACAGCAGCAGCAGGAGCAGCAGGCTTGGTACCATGCGGGGTAATTGCGTTGTTGTCGGGGTTCGCGGCTCTCTGGCTCTCGGCACGTTTATGTCACTAGAAGTTGCTTCGAAATAATACTTTGAAGTATTAGTTTTCATTAGAGTAAATGTACCAATTTCGAGACACTTAAGCCACCCTCCGCTCAAACAGCTCGTTCTTGACTATTAGGATGAATATCATTGATTTCGAGGCTACCTCCCAAAAACAAAAACAAAACGTATGTGCTGGGAAGATATGGCTCCTGTGATACCCCTTATTATTCCGGGATAGTACGGTGGAAAACACCCCCGCCCCCGTTAAGAGACACTTTAACGATGTGGTGATTGCGCGAGATCTAAAGCGTTTCAAACCTGATTTTTTTCGTACACGCTTTGCTTGAACTCATGTCCATATAGAAAAAAAAACAATGGGATCGATCCAGCCAGTTTTCGTTGATCCGGTTTGCCTCTTAGATGTGAGTTGTTCGCTCCGACAACGCCGGGTGCCTCGCCATGAAGCCGTCAAGCCAGCTGCGCCCCGGGCCCTTATCTGGGTCCCAGGGCACCGGGCGTCCGTCGAGGCAGAGCACTCGCACCGCATCTATGAGCTGCTGCCGACCGAAACTCAGAAAGTGTCGAGAAGCGTAGATCAGCGCATCTTCCACCGCATCTTCTTCCGCCTTGCTCAGCACAGTCTCGGGGCCAACCCTCGCATCCATGGCCATAGCACCGCTCAAACGTCGCGAGAGCGCGTCCTTGTTCACCCCGTAGGCCTTGGCAGCAGCCCTGAGAGACAACTGACCACTGCGGACCGCATCGCAAGCCTTCTCCGCCTGTTGTGGGTCTACTCTTGCCCGGCCCATGCTCGCAATGATGAGCAACAGACCCGCCACAGGGATGAAATTGACCCGCATCACGGGTGTGGGAGGGCGTGTTGCTGTATCTCGTGGGTGCGTGACCCGATCGGGACGCTGAAGTGCTCAAACGAAAGCTAACGGAACGCTTGAAAATTCGTAAAAAAAATAAGGGGTCCCCGCGGATTGTGCGCGGAGATATGTGCACTTGAAAAAATGTGTCTCTTAATTGGTACATTTACGTCTACTGATGTGTTTCCTTTGCACGCTAGAGTATATGACATTGGCGAGGGAGACACGAATCTTGTCACTCGCATCAAGAGTTTCCGCACCGAGATGTGAGGCATAGAAATGTGACATCGAGTTTTATGCTCGCGCATGACGACACGACGACTGGTATAGCGTCTGCAGCGGTATAGACATTTTCGGAGGAACACGGTTGGTCGATACAAGCCACACTGAAGGCTTCGCTTCTCGAAGCGTGATGGCATATCCTTGCTTATTTATTGAGCAACACATGTTCGTGTACGTCCTACCTGCCTCTCTAGATCGATTTGTCTGACTGCTCCGCTGCGATTTGACTCAGAGCAATAGACTCGCCCCGTGGCCGCTTAGACATCGAATCACAACTTCCAAACGCGAGTATGCACAGGTATGTGTGTTGACACCATCATGGAAGGCAACCAACAGCGTTTGCCTCGCGTTTACAAGCATCAAAGTAGTTATGTGTGGGGAGCAATGTTCTGGGAATCGTTCTGCAAGAAGCGCTTAAGAGAGCTTCAACCAACCACTTCCGGTCGTTCCCTCATGTCCCCAACCCCCCCCCCCCCCCCNCATGGAAGGCAACCAACAGCGTTTGCCTCGCGTTTACAAGCATCAAAGTAGTTATGTGTGGGGAGCAATGTTCTGGGAATCGTTCTGCAAGAAGCGCTTAAGAGAGCTTCAACCAACCACTTCCGGTCGTTCCCTCATGTCCCCAACCCCCCCCCCCCTATTATTTTTAGATTGGGTGCCATCGTGGAGGGTAGTTCTGGGGTATTGGGAAGGACTCTCCGGAATAAGCGATCCAGGCGCATTCAACCGCCAGCCGCCGCCAGGCCGACCTACCAACACGGACCAAGGATCGCTCAGGCGCTGGAAAGAATGGACGGCCACGGCGGTGGCACGCGCCCCCCCGTCCGTCGGCAGTTCAAGGTTCATCTATCGTCTTCCCCGTCCTTTCGAGTCCAGCCGGTTACCCCGCCCCCTTCTCCGGCCAACGCCAACGAGAGTTCCATCGGGCGTGGTGTTGCAGACGACATGGATCACCCCGATGCTTCAGGGTCTTCCCCCCGGCGTAAGGACCATGAAGGGTGGACCTTTGCGGAGGGTTTCGATGGCCTGGTTGGCCTTGGCCTCCTACCGGGGTCAGTGGATCCCTGATAGCGGCAAGTGGTGACGACTGCAGGGATGGAGATATCTGCGGGCGAGCGGTCGAAGTCGCGGACGGCCGAGTGGCCGCTGACCTCACAGGGATTGTAGCGTTTTCGCTAGGGGGGTGATAATGAGGGTGAAGTGTTTATTCCAAGATGTGGCGTGAACTGTTCAGCGTATATGGTTCCGTCGAATGGGGAACGGAAGCGGCCCAATGTAGTGTGTGTAGTTGTGATTGTTGTGATAGTGGTGCTCGTGAAGGCATGGTACTGGCGATTGTGGTTTGCCGCTGGGTGGTGATGTTGGTGCTGTGAGGATAGTAGTGCGAGTGCGAAGTTTTGTTCCTTTTTTCTCTTTCTCTGTGCTAGGCACGGAACAATTTTGAAACAATTTTGAGAAACGGTTTTGTTGTTTGTGTTGTTGATAAGTTTTGAGTGGAGTGTTGGCATTTGGAATTCGGTTCATTTCTATTGTTCAGGGTATGCGTGTGCGTCGATTCTTGGCGGGAGGGGGGTTCAAGGTTGCGAATCGCTTTACCTCGTGCACCTATTGCACTCGTGGAATATAGGCTTGCGTGCTTGCGTGGCCATCTCGAATACTGCCGCGGAAGTTTAGCTGGTGTTTTTGACACCTTGCTCTTGCAACGAGAAATAATAGCATTTGTTTACCCGAAACAACTGACGCCTACGGAAGGCCGTTCCCTGAATAGGGTGTGCATGCCTCAGGGTGTACAGAAACGCATCCTGGGCTTTTGAAACAACTGCACCCAACCTGTAAAAGAAATGATTGACACGACGCAATTTACATGAGCCACATTGGACCCCCACAACAGCAACAGGACACTACGGTCTTTAGCTCGCTACTTGCGATGTTTTTGGAGTTGCTCTACTCCCGGCTAGGTCATCGCAGACTCGACCTCCTTGGACAACCAGACCCTGCTTTTTCGTAGAACCGGCACACAGAGGTTGTGCACACTCATTTTTGAAGCCCCTTTTCTCCCGCGAGCTTACACTTACAATAGAACCCGCCCGGAGGGGTGCAACAGCTAACTCTTTCTCCTGTCTGCTTGCTGGTTCTACGCAAGCCCCAAGGTCTCCATCTCGCGGGGGAAGACTCCAACGAGAAACCGGCAAAGTGTTCCGTGGGGGTATGCCGAGAGGTGCGCCCACAGTGCCCACATTCCCACCAGCAGCATAGCCTGCAACACGTCGGAGAAGAATGAAAGAATGACGTTGGTACCGACCCAGTCAATAGCTGGCGCATATGGGCTGCAAAAAAGGTGTCAAAAAATCATTTTTACCCACACCGCCAGCTCAACGCCATCTTGCCTCGCTAGGGTCTAGATCATGATGCTGTACTTCGCTACATGCATCATCGCTGTGGCGCTCTTGCAAGCACAACGGCGTGTGGGGTGGCAGCACCGCCTTTCGCACGGCTGCACTGGCTGCGCACGGAGACCATCAGAGAGACTGCCTTTACACCCCTTCCTCTCACCAAGGATAGGAATCCGGAAAATCCCACGCCGTCATCGTTGCTGTCTCGCGCAGGGGACCCACCGGCCGGCCCCGAGCTTGACTGCTCAAGCTCCTGTTTCGCGTCCGCAACAGCTTGGCGAACCTTCACCAGACATGCGTAAAACACAACAGGGTCAAAGACAGATGGTATAATGTTGCTGATGTACCGGAGGCTCCGTGAGGGGTTAGCCCGAAGTCAGTAAGCATAGATGCCTTACCGGAGCAACAACTTACAAAGGCACATGGGAGGGCATGGGTCGTAGATTCTCCCTGCCATCCCAACCACACCCAGCAATATCTCCGGGGATTGATCGGTCGCACAGCAACCGTTTATAAGGTGGGAACGTGTTTACGCACCTGGTCCTCTGTCAAACCCAACATCCTGGCCGCCTTGCTGGAACCAATCTTTCGAGCTAGTTTGTCTTCGTCCAATCGCCTGGCGTCCCACTCCGCTAAGGGGATGCGAGAAAACACGGTGGGAAGGACACGTTCTCGTTAAACGATGGTAAATGTTAGTGTTCAACAAACTTTCAATATGGACGAAAGGCTTGCAGCGATCTCTACCCAGAAAAACAACCTCTCAAGTGAACCCAGCAGTCGCGAAATTGTGTGCAACCGCGGATCTACTTGAATACTCACTACAGTATCGGGATCAGAGGGAGTGGCACAATGACCCGGATGGACCCGTGTGTCCTGCCCCCTCTTGTGCGGTCGGTCTGAAGGACGACTCGTGTGATCCGTTGACGTCTCCTGCACCCTTCCGTCCTCCCCCGACCCGACCCCTGACATCGCACGTTTCGTCGCAGGGTACGTTGTGGATTCGTTCCATATATGGCACGGTACACCACCTCACCTCTTCCAGCCTCATCCTCGGCGTTTCCAGTCTCTTTGATTTGGCTCTCTGTGGTGGTGTTGACGAGGGACTCCTCGCCTGCCGCTGCTGACGACGGCGTATTCTTTGCTCTTTTTCGTCTCCGCAGCTGCGACAGGTTATCTACCACTCCCTGGATCTGTTGCAAGCCGGCCGGCTTCTGCTCGTCTACCGCCCCAACCGACCCTGCTTGGTCGAGTTTCTTTGCAACCCCAACTGTCTCCTCCCCTCTCATCTCCGGTGGCAAATCGATGCCTGGGAATAATAGAGCGTGGGGTACCGGAAAGTAGGAAAACATTGCAATATGGGCAAAAGTCGCAGCCGGCCGGATACCCTCCTTCCTGTTGTACGTCGCTTGCGCCTGGTGGCGCGATTCTCTGCTCTCAGTTTCTGTATCATCCCGACTCACTCAGCGATCTATGCGTACACCTATACACATAATATATCAGCAATACTTTCCTCTGCAGTCGCATGTTGGCTGTCGTAACATAACTAATTATGCCGTGCATGAGTCTGATGGCCACATTACTACCCCCGTCAAGCCTATTGGCAACAAGAAATGACTGGCAAGCGCGGTTCAGACTTGTGAAGACAGCATAGCAACATTGCGAAATCCTCGTCGTATCATGGGCTCACCAACTCCGGTGTAATCGATAGGCTTGCCAGGATAAGAAGCTATGGCGACTACCACGGATAAACCCAGCAGTATGCCAAGAAGAAGGGAGAACTTGGTGTCTGTGCGGACTTGTAGCGAGGAAACATAGCTCTGAAGGACCGTTGCCCCATCCTCGATCTTGCTTAGGATATTCTGCGCGGCGAGCACAAGAAAAGAGAGGTGTTGGTTAGAGTCGCCAAAGGACAGCATCACCGTATATAACCTACTGAAGATGCACGACAACCTTTTTGCACACGCTGAAAGGTCGTCACGTTGTCATTGACGCATGACCATCTCGCAAGGTCTGTCCGGGGTGCGAACGACAGGGAGACACATCGTAGACTACAACCATGCAACTGCCAAGCAAAGGAAGGGAGAGAGCCAGCCTGTCCTTGGGGGACAGCGAGACCATGCTCTGGTCATTTCACCTCCATTTTGTAACCAGCTTGTGCTGAACTGCCCAGGATCCTCCAGTCTGCGCAGAAGCTGTGAGTGAGAGCCGCCTTTGGTTTGGATGGGGTGGTTTTCTGCAGGTGCGAGACAGCGAGAGACAAGAGGGGTAGGACAGATATCTCCACCACCGGGGCTCCGCGGGTTAGTCGACAACATCTGGTGTAGGGGGGACGTACTGCTTAGCACGTAGCCCCCCTTCACAGTCCCGCGGAAGAACTCAGCCTATGGTGTATGACTATGACAATCAAGCACTCAGATTGTTACAGTCATATACCATAGCACTCAGCCGGTCGCCCCCGTGGTCTAGTCGCTATCCTCAAAACCTTGTAGAGGTCAGGTCAGGGTTTCGAATCCCGGCGTAAGCGAGCTTTTCTTACAAAGTGAGTTTTTCTCTTGCTTCCGCTCTTGGCCTAGTAGACAGCGCTAGTTCGTGTGTACACAGAGGGAAGAGAGTGCTGAACTCTTGACATATTAAAAATCGAAGGCAAAGTACCGCAGGAGGGGAGGGTAAAGAGGGGCTCTTCTGTGTGACCACGGGTTGGAGTAAACGGCACTAGTGCTGTGAGCGTTGATTTGAAGTGAAGACCAACAAACAATAAAACAAACAACAACTCACGACCTGCTCACGACAGAGCAGCAGGAGCAGCGAGACAGAGCAACGAGCGCGTGAAGCTGGCAGCATGAGAGGAGATTCCACTCGGCCATTGGCGCTGGTGGTGGCCTCGGTCGTTGGCTCCTTGGTGGCTGCGAGGCGTGTGGTGGAAAGCGAGCCTAGCAGCAGCGTCTCGCGCTCCCTGAAGGCCTTTCGGAAGGCAGCCCCCGACGTGTGAGTTACACGGTTGACTGTTGTCTTCATCGGTCCGATCTGTCCATCCAGTACCTCCATCTGTCCGTACTACAAGGAGTCTAACACTTGCATTTATTACTAAGAACTGAACCTCGCACTCACACAAACGGGGGTATGGCTACTTATCTCTCCGCTCTTCCTATCGGTAGCGACGGGCTTCTACAAGCTGGTGCCTTTGGCTACCTGCACATGCCTGCCGGGCATGATGTGATGATTCGGGGGGGTCGTGCCAGTCGCGATCTTGATAGTGACTGCTGACTTTACTAACAACGGGCTGTGAAGGAGGGTACCCAACTTACGTGCGAGACACGTTAGTCATGCCAGGTGGAAAGTGTTTGCACAAACCCGAATGTTGTCCCGCACAGAGCGTGGTTGGGTTTATCTCCACCCGGCTTGTCCGCCTATACATATGCATACCTCCACACGGCCCCTGTCAAATTGAGACGAAAAAATTCAGAAAAGCGATACCAGTCTAGATCGATTGAAGCAGGTCACACGGTGGGTGCTGAAGCAGGTGCTTTGCGTGGTTGAGGTCCCAGCAAAGAAATTTTGAGGGCATTGTGGAGCAGGACAAGCGCGTTGGCACGCCTAGATCTGGTGCTGGAGCCACTCGGTCCTACGTTTTAGCTGCGATCCGAAGTCCACAAATCTGGATCGATACGTCCATACCATCCTCCGCGTCCAGTTTGTTTGAGTATACCTTTTGTAGGGTAACTTAGCCTGTGACCAATTGAGTTGACCGCGTCAAGTGGTAGATCAATACGGACAGATGAAGGTACTAGGCAGAGAGATCGGAACGGTTTTGATGTACAGACAACAACAAACAACGACATTCGAGGGCACCGCTGTACTCGCCTTCACCACAGACCCAGTCCCTCGAACTGCGATTCGCCCAGGTCAGCTAGTGGTGTAAGCTACCACTGTAGACCAGCAGTTGGGGGGATTGAGTGTGTAACAGAGCGTACAGCAGTGAATCGTGAATGGGATGGACCCAGATTTGCGGGCTGTTTCGATCAGAATCTGAAGCCTTTGACTACACGACTACACGGTCCCAGCAGCAGATCTGGGCGCGCCAATAACATGTCGTTGCTCCATGATGGTTGTCGCAGCCCTGTGTGAACTCACAGCCCGAGCTGTTTCTGCGTCTTTTTCATTTGTGTGTTTTGTGTTTTTTTTATTTTCTTGGGGGGGTGCCTGGACCACCACCGAAACACAGCGCGGCCGCCTCGTCTCCAGAGGAGCACCTGGTCACCACCCTGCCGGGGCTTAAGGACAAGGACTTCCCCACCAAGCAGTATGCCGGCCACATCCCGGTCGTGGACGGGTTCCACTTCTACTGGCTGTTCGAGAGCGCGAGCTCGGACCCTTTGTCCGACCCCCTCGTGATATGGCTGAACGGCGGGCCGGTGAGAGGTGGATGCGTTTTCGGTAGTCCCATCATTTCACGACGCTTCTATATCCAGCGCATCCTCTTGTTTGTCGTTTGCCCATAAGACGTACATTGCTTCCGGAGTAGCAAGCGAGCTACCCTGACATCGCAGTGCCTCTGTAGTTCAAGGTACTTCCAATTATTGGCATGGGGCTTCGCGTTAACTTTTCTCTTGTCCTTGCTGTTGCGTGTGGCGATGTGCTCGGGTTGCTTCCCGGCGCGACAGGGCTGTTCAAGCATGGATGGGTTGTGGCTTGAGAACGGTCCTTTTCGATTACATGACTCCGGGGATGGCATCGACGTCAATCCCTATAGGTGAATGGGTTTGCGCAGACAAGCAGGCGTTTCTTTTGGAAGTCCCCGTTCAGCGGTACGTGTAGCTTGGCGGTTTACGACGTGGTACGGTAATTTGGCCTGCGGTAAGGGCAGATGGTGTTTCAGCAAGCGCACGACCGGGTTCTCTCGTCGCCGCTACTAACCGCCCACGTGCAATGCTTTTCGGAGGAGACTGGCTGCGACCCCTTCGACGGCAAACAGCTTGCGACGGTTTTGCACAGTCCAGACCCTGCCCTCTTTCGTCGTGGTTTCTCGCGCTTGGACGTTCGGTGCTCGACAGATAAACTGTGCTGTATGGCACCGTTCTTGCTAAATATGCCTCCGCATATGTAGCTCTTGACCTTTGGGTGAAGACTGAGACCCTATTTTGAAACTACCATGCGTAAGTACGACGGGTACAGAGGGGGTCGCATCCACAGCGCGTCGTGCTTGCCTGAAGAAGGTGCGGTATGCCGAGGAACCCCGGTCAATTTGTCTCGATGAGATAGATGCACCTGAGTAAAACAAGACAACAAGCAGTTGTTGTTTCTGACTGGAAGGTTGGAAATGTACCCGTCCCGTTCGTCCCGTTCGTTCCGTCCGTCTCACACAGCTGGCATAACGTGGCAAACGTTTTGTATGTGGACCAGCCGGTCGGCACTGGTCTCAGCTTCACCACCAACGGCAACTACGCCGACAACGATCTCCAGGTGCGGGGACCGCCTTCTCGAGGATATGATTATTTATGTTTGAAATGGAGAGGGGGTTTCGCATCCCTAACGCCAACCCCCAACCCAACCCCGTACCCCCTACCATAAACTTAGTATCCTCGCGAAGGATACTAGGTGCGGTGACCATCCTCGGCAGTCACAGAGGCGCATTTTCTTTGCAAATTCCTCGATATGCTTTTGCTTGGCGTCCTTGCTATCTTGCCCCCCTTTCCTACCCTGTCTGCCTCCCCTCCAAGCGCCTATCTTGTTCTGGGGGGGGGGGCGCGCTGTTTGAAGAATTCGGGTTCTCACCTCCGTAAAGGGGCGCCGTCGTCCACTCTTCACGGTTGTTTTCTTCGCGGAATGTGCAGTTGTGCTCTCGCTTTTTGATCAGTGCCGTTGATATCACGTTTTGGGCTGAGTACCCCGGCCGTTACATAGGATCGCCAGCGAAGCTGCTTTTCGGCTAGGTGCAACGCGTTGAGACCAACCTCACGGCCACGCGGGGCGAGTAGCCGCCGACACGGAGCCGCGAAAAAGTCTGTGGTTGGACGGGTGCCGCTTGCTCCCACGTTTTCGCGTGCGTATCAACGATGAGATCGATCGCAGCGTACATGGCTTTGCTGTGACTGGCGGCTTGTTGTTCCAACTCGGTGTCTCCCCTCAGGTGGACGAGCAATTCTACCTTTTTCTGTCCAACTTTCTGGAGCTTCATTCTCGGTTCAAGGCCGGGAGCGGCAAGTCCCGCCCGATATTCTTCACGGGCGAGTCTCACGCAGGGCACTACATCCCTTCCATGACGGCCTACATTCTGGCCAAAAACGAGGCCGCTGGAGAGGTACGGCAACCCCCCTTCCCCCCTTAAGGCTCCCAACGACGTGATACTAGGAAACTACAGGACACGCTCGTGGCATTCTTCTGCTCTATTCGCCTGTCTCCTATGTGATGGGTTACCAAGTTTGGTTTGAATCGCAACGGAGACGGCCAAGTCTTCACTCTTGCTTTCTGATGGTGTCTTCGCTTGATGGTGCGCTTTTGCAGGGAGAGCTGGTTGTCGACGTCCAGGGAATGATGATCGGCAACGGGTGGTTTGATCCAGTTTCTCAGGTGCGTGATTTCAGCGGGGGCACAACAACCGTATACCGTTCCCGCACCATTCTCCTCCGCAGGAGCCCCGCTGATGTGCTGCGGCGGCCCGAGACGTCTCGTTCGATGCCGCCTCGCCAAGCCCAACAACGGTGTCTGCTGTTGCTGTTAGTTGGTTCTCACGCAGTGGCATCGGGTCGGCGCATTCGGTGTCGCCGTGCGCACTACTGTAGTAGCGGTGTAAGGCCTCAGGGTGCCGAGGGATTTAGCCGGCCTTGTACCGGGCACCCGGCGCTATTCAGAGTATTCGCAACTGCACTTGAACGTTCCATCCGCGTCACGCGGTTTCACGGGACCCCCGGCCTTGTTCGTGTACCGCAGGGACCACTAATCCTGCTGTGTAGCGATGTCTCGATCCTCCCATGTTTCGGTGTCGAATCTACTCCTCTTTGGTTCCTTTCCTACAGTACGACGTGAGCGACTTCGCCTTCGGGATGGGACTGATCGACTCCGGGCAGAGGCGGGGGCTGAAGAAGCAGGAGGAGAGCTGCCTATCATCGATCGAAGCCGGAAACTACAAGTGAGCGCCGGGCGCGCCGGCGACGTTGCACGGCAGAAAGAGAGAGAGGAGAGAGTAACTGTACCGCATGCCGGTGGGAGGTCGTTGCCGTTAGTGCCACCGTTTCGAGGGA